CAAAATGTGGAACAAAGTTAAAGTCTGATCTGATGATGGTGCTCGATGAAAGGGTAGAGGGTCACCTAAAAACTGCAGTTCATCCTCTGGGGCCATGACTTTCTGTTGACAATTTCATACAATCCTTTCAATCGTTTATGACTTATTTAAATTTTAATAAAAGTGGCAAACTCACTGAGTGAATGACGTAGTTAAAGGTGTTGCTACAAGCCAATAAACGATTGGTACAAATATACGTATGAATACAGTCCCTGACAAAAGTCTTGTCGCTTATCCCAGTTGTAGGAACAACAAATAATAACCTGACTTGTAGTTGATCAATTGGGATCAGAAGTAGCTTATATGAAAGGCAAAGGCCAATAGATTATGCTTATTATACCAAAATAAAGTTGTGTATCATTCATTGAGTTTTATCATTTAATTAGGACAGAAAGGTCAGATCTTGCTTGGACAAAAGTCTTGTCGTGTCTTTAAACGATTCAACCAATCACAGATTAGAGCTCCACCTGTGACAAATACTGTAATTAACACATTCCCAGGTGTGTATAAAAAGAACCCCAGCACACAAGACCTTCATGTGAAGTGCAACCTGACCGCTGACAACATGCCAAAGATTCAACCACAGACCAAAGTGCTGATCATCAAGAGCCTGAAGACCAAGTCTGCTGCTGAGGTGGGAGACATCTTCAGTGTATCCAAACGTCAAGTGGAGAGGATAAAAAAAAGATTTGAAGAAACTGGTGACGTTCATGACAAGCCCAGGTCAGGCAGACCCCGTAACACAACTGTTAGAGAGGACCGTTTGTTGCTTCGGCAGTCCAGGGCCAGCCCTTTTTCAACTGCAGCAGAGCTACATCAGAACTGGTCACCAGAAACCCCTGTATCTACCAGAACAGTTTGTCGAATTCTCTCACGCAATGGTCTCCATGGCCGAATTACTGCTCACAAACCAGCATTAAACAGAAGACAACAAAAGAATCGTGCTGCATTTGCCAAGGCCCACAGCTTGCAGAAAGGATGGACAGTGGAAAAGTGGCAGAAGGTTGATTTTTCTGATGAATCATCCATTGAACTGCATCCCAATCGCCGCAAATACTGCAGAAGACCTGTTGGAACCCGCATGGACCCAAGATTCACCCAGAAAACAGTCAAGTTTGGTGGAGGAAAAATCATGGTTTGGGGTTACATCCAGTATGGGGGTGTGCGAGAGACCTGCAGAGTGGATGGCAACATCAACAGCCTGAAGTATCAAGAGGTTCTCGCTGCCCATTACATTCCAAACCACAAGAGAGGGCAAATTCTTCAGCAGGATGGTGCTCCTTCTCATACTTCAGCCTCCACATCAAAGTTCCTGAAAGTGAAGAAGGTCAAGGTGCTCCAGGATTGGCCAGCCCAATCACCAGACATGAACATTATTGAGCATGTCTGGGGTAAGATGAAGGAGGAGGCTTGGAAGATGAAACCAAAGAATCTTGATGAACTCTGGGAGTCCTGCAAGACTGCTTTCTTTGCCATTCCAGATGACTTCATCAATAAGTTATTTGAGTCATTGCCGAGACGTATGGATGCAGTCCTCCAAGCTCATGGGAGTCATACACGATATTAATTCTTTTTCCCAAGGCACCATGATTTTATGTTCTGATGTTATTGGAGCATGTTTGTGTATTCAAAATAAAGTATCATTTCTACAGTACATTATTTTTGTATGCGACAAGACTTTTGTCCAAGCAAGATCTGACCTTTCTGTCCTAATTAAATGATAAAATTCAGTGAATGATGCACAACTTTATTTTGGTATAATAAGCATAATCTAGTGGCCTTTGCCTTTCATATAAGCCATTTCTGATTCCAATTGATCAACTACAAGTCAAGTTATTATTTGTTGTTCCTACAACTTGGATAAGCGACAAGACTTTTGTCAGGGACTGTATACAGCATGTTTTAAATGAAGTCATAGCTGCATTAAAAACAGCTGCGTACCAGCAGTTAGTTGTGATATTAGAGAAAAAACTGTGCTATATTACAGTGGTAACAAGGGCAAACATGGTACAATGGCCAAAAACATTTCAGTTTGGAGAAAAGTGCTGCAGCCTCAGACACAATGCCTATTCAAAAACACAGATGAAAACCCAAAGCAAATACAGTGGAATTGACTGGAAATTAAAAAAAAAAGCCAAAGAAAGCCAAAACAAATACGTTAACAGCAAACACACTGCTTGCTTTTATTCTTTACTGCTCATGATCAATCACTCAGGTGCAATATCAGTATTGTTAAACTGTGCAATATCTATACTTCCATCAGTCAACTTTAAAACCAGCCATTCGGTCTGTCTCTTTATTATATCCTGCTTCTTCCTGCTGCTTCCTTATTATATTGCTTTGTGTTTTTATAGTTTGCTTATTTTACGTAGGTATGTATATATTGCTGTGTACTTTATTATTTTTCTACTGATGTTTCCTGTTTGCAGTCCCTTTGCTGATGTAATCTTGCAAATTTCATCACTGATGGACAAATTAAGGATTATCTTATCTTATCAAATACATTAACTGTGCAAAGTCAAAAAAGCACAAAGCCAGCTTGATTGTCGACCTGAGAGAGAGATACCAGATGAGTTTGTGTTTGAAGCGGGGAAAAAAGGGGAGTAAAGAAGCGAAATACAAAGGTTTGCATTCTTTTTTACATTTAGCCTCATGGTCTGTTTCCACAGGAGCATTTTTGGATGTGATCGAGGGGTCATTCCCAGCTAATTCTTGATGGGCACGCCAATTTATTCATGGTCTGCTGGCTCCCGGATTTTCAAATCAGACCAACATGGCTACTCATTTGGAAACTCTCTCTTTCTGTGAACATCTGAAGCAAGACATAAGCCATGCAGTTGCTGAATCTGTTTTCATTTTCAATTGAAGATGGATAGTTTAAAAGTTTTTGACAGTTTCCAGAGGCGTCGAGTCGTGCTGGACGCCCATGATTTGCATAAAGTAGCCTGACCTTAACGTCATGCAAATGTGGAGAGAACGAACTGTCTCAAAATGCCACACTGCACTACCAGAATGCATTGCAAATATGAAAATGATGGGTCCTGTGGACACCTACTATCAATTAGTTACTCAAAAGTTACATTGTTAGGTTGTGCTGACTACGCAGTGTTTTTCTGTTACATTTGTTTTCGGGGTTTGTGTGTTTTTGACTTTGCATCGTTTCCGTATGTGCAGGATGTTTCTTCAAATGGAAATAACTTGGGCCAATGCAGTGTGTTGGCCTTGTTGGCCACTTATGCTGCAAACACACCAACAATTCGACAACCATAATAATAAAACATCTGACTTCGAACCAAAATAAAGATGACATGTGTCAAACTGTCGACCCACCTGGACAGAGAGCTTCTTATCCTCACTTGGCAGGATTCTGTATGTGTACACACAGTTCTGGTATCTGTGGTAATAACAATAAAATGTCACTGTGGTATAACATGTACAGTATGTAGGTAAAGAAACATGCTGGCTGGTGTATTCAGTGTGTTCCTCATGCACTCAGAACAGTTTAGGCAGTACTTTTAAATGAAGGTTCCCTTGAAAAATGATATGAGTTGCAGAGGGCAAAGGGTGTTGCTTTGTGGTAGCGCAGTATGCAAATAAAGGGGAACTAGTCTTGCGTTGCAGTGTGTATGTGCAAACTGATACATAGACATGCAGCAGGGGAAATTTGACTTTAATCATGTTTAGTGATTTTTTTCTTAAACATGATACCAAAATCAGTCGGTACAACAGTCAAGTCATGTTTTTCTTTCAATTTTTAGGTTCATACACATCTCATACTGCAGGATGTGAAGGCTTTTTTAAACAAGGAAAAAGAATCACTCTATGAAAATGCATCAAAACAAACTGTCAGTGCAATAGTTAGAAATAAATGATGTCAACTTACAGAACACAGAGGGCATACGCTCCCTGTATGGACTCACTGGCCCGGATAAGGAAGCTTCCATCTCTTGCTGCTTTGGAAAGAAGATCCTCAGCTTTGGATCGAGTTATAGTACCATGGAACCAAGGTTGATAACTTGGCATCCTGTTTCTAACCCAGGGGTCTGAGCTCAAGAGTTTTGCATCTGCTCCTAAAATATATTCCAGCAAACCAAAAGTAGACTCAGTTTTTCTCTCTGGCTATTCTCATCTTTTCATGGTGCGTACCTTTAAGTCCTTTCTTTCACTTGTTCATCCTCTGCCTCCGAAAGCTGTAAAAGGAAGCTGCTACTAGCTCGGCTATGAACTTCCTCATTTGTGAAGTTAAGGAGGAGGGCCCTGGTGCCTCTGCGCTGCCTGCTACATGTCACATCCACAGAGCTGTAAATGGAAATACAGACTTTCGCTTGTTGAGTTGAAATCTTTATCACGTTATTTTAATCATTAACCAGCATTCCTGCTTTCAGTTTCCGTGCACCTGTTTGTTAATGTGCAGAAAAAGGTGAAGCTGTTTGTCAAAGTTCAATGTGAAAAAAGTGAAAAAGGGGAACTAAGAAAAAAATGATCAAATATTATGAGTCTTACTTTTCACAGTTATGAAAAAATCTGCCTGGGAATAAACTGAAATTATAAGAAGCCTCATTTGGTTCCCAGATGCACTTTTCTAAAACTCACCTTTGACCTAGAATTAAACAAGCACTCAAATTCGCCCAGAAGACCCGACCTGAGTCTGATTACAAACCGTTTGATCGTCTCATTAGAAGAGCTAGGGGGTTTTCTAAAATACGTACATTCAGGAAATACAAGTTTAGAATGGCTTGCCACGTTCATGTGATGGACAGGAAGTCTTGCAGAAATAAGAGAGAGAAAAAAGCTGCTCACAAACCACAACACAGGTCACATGACACAAAAAGAGAACTACACAGTGACAAGTCACTGCAGCCTTGGAGGTTTCTGTCCTTTGCTCGAAATAGGTTTCACACTTTCACAGAGTGCAGCTCAAAGTCGCAGACGGGGCAATGGCAGCGTAGAGAAGACACATCATCTCATGCACATGAAACCAAATGTTTACTGAGTTATTATTTACAGCTTACAAGTTACAAAGGACATTTATAACTCACATCCTACTGATCTGTGTCAATCATGTCTTTCAGTCTCAAACATCACTTTTTCTGCAGATGATGTCTGGCCAAACTGACTCACATTGACACAGGGTTAATAGTTTGCCATGCAGCAGTGCAACATAATACATAAGTGGACAAAACAATAAATGCATTGCATAGGAAAGTTAAGGAGATGGATAATTAAGAATGTATGTACAGTACAATGAGGGTTTGTCTAGCACAAGCAAAGTAAACATGGTTCTGGTGTCTTCCAGCAATTTTAAAAAACATTACATTTGTAAGTAAAAACACACATTACATTGCAGTAAAACAAGACTTAGAGTCAATAGCCACACTAACTGCTCTGAGAGGCTGCACACTGGTGAGCTAAATGCTAACCATGTATGTATAAAGAGAACTGGGTACAGCATTAGAGGCGGGGCCCCATTCATTCCTTTGAAAGTTGCTCAGTGGTGCATGAAGCCAAAGAAGTTCAACTTCTTGAGTGTAAAACTACCTGAATCTTCTGCTCCCATAGAGCAAGCACACAAGACTTTGCCGGCTAAGGGGCCTTTTGTCTGTGGGACAGATGTAAAGCTCTAGCAGCTCTGTACCAAAATGATCAACTGTTCGATATTTATCACAGACTTACGGAAGAAGCTAATCTGCCGGCTGTGATTTGTTGTTCCTTGTCACATGACATGCAGTGGGCGCTGCTGTGTTCCAAAAGTTGAACTCGGTTTATCCGAGGGTGCAGCCGTCACGACCTGAAAAATAGGAACTAGAGAAGGCGTGTGCGAGGTGGTTGCTCTAGCGTTTGAGCGCGCCTGCCACGCCTCTACATTGGAAACAATGAATTTGAGGGTGTAAAAAATACAGCATCAAAGGGATTAACTTTGGGTTTGGCTAACTTGAATGAGGATAAATTGATTCACTTGTCTCTTTTAGACTTTTAAAATGTTATCAGACTGAATAAACCAAATCTTTATAGTGAAATAAGTCATTTCGTGGGGGGTTGTGAGATTTAAAAAGAATGTATACACTGATTTAGAGACGTCTCTTTCCCAATGTAAGTCTACGGGAAGAAGTCTTTTTGGGCCTCATGGCATCCTGTAACGGACGAGGATTAGCCACTATATCAAATTGGCTTCAAAGTCCAGCGCACTTCCTGGAGGCCTGATGCTGACAAGCTTAGTTGTTGGCATGCTAACATTTGCTAACTAGCAGTAAAAGCAAAGCATCAGCTGAGGCTGATGTGGAGGTCACTGGTTCTGCAGGTAGTGGTGAAACAACTTCAGCCCATTGAGGGAAACATGAATGTTGGGACCAAAAGATATTTAAGTCTGGACCAAAGTGGACCAAACCGCCTTTTTTAGAGTTTGGCTAAAAGCAATGTATCATTACAGTAAGAGTATTGGCCAAGTGACGGACCAACTGACCGACATTACAGAAAATCGCCAGGGAAAAAGTTGGCATTTTATGTTTCTGCAAACCATGGATATGTTAAGTGGTACATTATAATGTAGCAGATTGGTTCAAACTTTACACTTCAGCAACACTGTGGTTAATGTGTGGTTATGATTAGGAAAAGATCATGTTTGGGGGCAAAATCCAGGCTGGAAAAGCAGCAATGTCTCTGCTTTTTGTCCCTGAAAAGCCGCTCGAAACACAGCAATGGATCACTTAAAAAAGCAGCTGGAAAAACAGCAACTGCTCGCTATGAAACACCAAAGTCTGGTCACTTAAAAGCAGCTGGAAACACAGCAATGACTCGTTAAATCACAAGTTTTGTTGTTTTTTGGTCTCGAATAGTCGTCTGCAGCCTGGCAGATGTCTTGCCAAGATGTCACACAATCCATCACCATCGCCTCCACCTTACACTGACAAAGTCAGCTCATGCACTGTCACTATAGAAATGTTGATTTGTGTTCGAGGTCTGCAGAAACATACAATGCCAACATTTTCTTCTGTTGACTGGGCTGGACATTATCACAATGATAGCATAGCTTAAAAAACCTTCAATTTAAAAAGAAAGATATTAAAAGATAACAAGTATTTATCACTTTTGGTTGAGAATACAAAACAATAAACAATAACATACATTAAAAGTTGACTATGTACAAAATTGCTCATTTGGTGTTTGACACAAAAATCAGAAGCTTATGAAAACAGCAATATCATGTTGAGGTCACATGCAGCTGAAGCCTCACAGACTTTGACGGTGAGGACAAATGCTCGAGAGTTCCCTGGTTGACTTCATGCACACTTTCTGTGAGTAGGCATACCTGCAGACTCTGATCGTCAACGATGACGACAATGGAATCTCGGAAGCTTAAAAAGGAAACATAAGCAAAACATGGAAGAAGTTGGAAGGAAAGAATTTTCCTGGAGTTATAAACTAAGTGTTTATAAGTCTATAACGACTTCCAGATATGTTGATTTGGTCCGAAAGTACAATTTCATTACATCACATGAGTCATACACATTACTGGACACAGGATGTCCATGTCTGGGTGACGTTAGATCACAAGTGCTTTCCAAATCCTCATATGGCATTTGGAGTCCTCACACCCTCCTACACTCAAATGGGTGATGTTTAAAGTCTACGAGGGTAAATAATAGGGCATAGGGTGGAGACTGGAACTGGGCCTCAAAGGTATACCATGCAGGACTGTTATTGTTTGCAAACACACTCGCAGTGAAAGTGAAAGTAAAAAAACAAGTATAGATTTACTCATTTGGCATTTTGCCTCGCTATATTTGCAGGGGCAGTTCGGCGCTGTCTCTTGAATGCCTGCTGCTTATGGTCTGACAGCGAGTCACTACCTTTTTTACGCTCAAGCCCAAAAAATAAGAAGAAAATACAGTTTGAGAGCAGAGTCTCTGCAGAAAAAAACACCACCACACACTTCTAGTGGGTCATAAGTGATGATTAAAAAGGATTATATCTCTTTACATTGCTTTTCAGTAAAATCCTGCATAGTATATCTTTAAATTCAAGCTTTGGGGGCAACAGCGGCACATCAGCAACACTGTGGACGCCTCCAGTCAGTCCAAGGCAACAGTCAGTGAATAGTTAAAGCAATTTTTGTTTGTGTTGGAAATACATCACTCCCAAAGAGCTCTAGATTGAGATCAAATTTCTCTTCCTCAAAACTCAGACTTGGCACTCACAGAGCTCTCGTGTGTTCCCTTTAACTCTCCGCTGGTGGCTCCCGACACTCCTGCTTGATTTTTGCAAAACAATCTCATTAGAGTGCCGCGGAACTTCTCCGCCCCAAACAGGTAGATCAGCGGGTCCATGGCCCCGTTCAGGCAGGTGAGGGAAGACGTGAGGCGGTTGGCCAGGCTCAGACCTCTGCGTGTCTGGCAGGTGACATCAGGATGGCCGTAGCCCAGGATGAAAGTGGCCCTGCTCACGTGATAAGGCAGGAAGCACACTACATAGATGAGCATGACCAGACCGATGGTGCGCAGCGCTCTCATCTTGAGCTCCGGCTCTAACCTGGAGCCCCGATGCAGGCTGTGAATGATGAGCAGGTAACAGCACAGGGTGGTGAGGAAAGGTGGGGTGAAGGCCACAGCGAGGGAGATCAGAGCATTACGAGAGGCCTTCTCCCTGTACAGCTGCAAACACACCGTCACACCGTCCACCTCTGCAGTCTGATGGGTGATGAGCAGTGGCGCCATGGAGACTGTAACCAGTGCCCATAGAGAGAAGCTGATGATGTGAGCGTAGCGAGCACGACGAATCTTTAGCGACCTCACAGCGTGAACAACAGCCAGGTAGCGATCCCCCGCCACACAGGCCAGGAAGTACAGGCTGGCGTACATGTTGACATAAAACAAGAAGCCTGCCAGTCTGCAGGGCACCTCGCCAAAGGGCCAGTGGCCTCCGGTGAGGTGGTAGGTGGCCCTCAGTGGGAGGATGATCACGTAGGATAAGTCTGCCACAGCCAGATGAATCAAGAAGACGTTAGCTGGAGAGGAAGCGCCACGCTGGTGGGAGAAGATCCAGAGAGCCAGGCTGTTGCCGTTCAGCGCCAGGAAGAAAACCAGGATGTAGAAGCATCCAAACAGTGTGTTCTCAACTGTCATATCCACCGCCGCACAGCTCTCCGATGACCCGTTGGATGACAGGGAGGTTAGCTCCACTGTAGAGGTGTCCATTTTTGTGGCTGAGGAGACAAAAAGGTGTTACGAGTTTATCCGAAATATCCAAAAAGCAATTTCCAGGCACAAGCAAAAAAAACATTTTTGGATGCTTTTTATTTTGATAAATCAACATAATTTTGCAGGAAAGATAGAAATAAATCATGACAGTTACACATCAGATCTGACCATCCGAGGCATGGCGTTTCGAAACATGTGCTTTTGATTTCTAAAATAGTTCATTGTTAGTATTCAGACAGCAAACCACCCCAGTGACAGGAAACCCAACCCTTGTCCACTCCCACACACACACACACACACACCCTGACAATAGGCAGGGAGAGTATTTGTCACAGTGCCAGTCTCACACGGTAACAATAGATGTCAGTGTCCCTGGCTAATGTACGCATGCCCTCAGAGCGGATAATGACTTCATTCTGACAACTACAGTCATCAGACTTCCTCTGCACACTATTAACTTCAGGAAGTCATTAGATCTTCACTCTTCTTTTTAACGGTTCATCTTATCATATAAGAGGTGTTACATGAAACTTTAACTGTTCAAATTAAAACTTTCAAACCTACTCTGTAATGCTAGTTTAGCACAGGGGTCAGCAACCCCCCTTTTAACATTTTAGTTTTTAAATATCAGTGTTGTGGGTCTAAGGAAATTCTTCTCCAATTGTAAAAATGTGAAGCCTCAATACTGACTAAATAAAGTTACAACTTGTTGCAACTACAATGTGCGTGATACGTCTTCTGCCTGGCACCTTTACCAGGTCAATGGTGCTGTGCAGGATCCAGCCATGATGTAGTTTGGTAGACAGAAAATAGTTCCTACATGAAAAATTTTCAAATGTATTTTTTTTGGCACTTTGAGCACCATCTAGTTTCATTATATTGGAGAGAAGGCAGACATCTCTACGGACGATTTCGCCAACACTCAGCAACTCACACCAAAACAATCTGGCTTGATAAATAGCACTACAGGCGAGACAGAAAATAGGCTCAACATTTTGACACCACACTCATATTCATTCATTCATTTTCCAAAGACGCTTATCTTGTTTGAGGTCCTAGGGGGACTATCCCAGCTGACATTGGGCGAGAGGCGGGGTACACCCTGGACAGGTCGCCAGACTATCACAGGGCTGAGGCATAGGGACAGACAACCATTCACGCTACGAGCAATTTAGAGTCACCAATTAACCTGCATGTCTTTAAACTGTGGGAGGAAGCTGGAGTACCCAGAGAAAATCCACGCTGACATGGGGAGAACATTCAAACTCCACACAGAAGGGCTCCCCAACCCTGAGTTCAAACCAGGAACCGTCTTGCTGTGAGGCAACAATGCTACACTGTGCCACCACTCTCATATATGTTCGCTAAATATCAAGCTAGATCCAACTGCCAGTTAGCTTAGCCAGGAAACAAAATATCCGCCTACCAGGACCTTGTATCTTACAGTTTACACTCCTTTGTTTAATACAGAACCTGAAATAATAAGACGACAAGTTGTGTTTTTACAGAAGGTTATCACTCTTGGACAGAGCCAGGTTAACTGTTTTACTGTGTCCAGTCTTGTGCTAAGCTAAGCTAACCGGCTGTTGATTCAAACTTTATATAAACTCAAGAGTCACATCTATCTCGTCTATTCCTGTTTGTCAAGGGTTACAGCTGCATATATGAGACAAAAATCATTGCACAAGTGAAAAATACTTTTTCTTAAAAAACATCTATCTGCAAATTTCTAGTCAACTTTAAACTATGTCCATGAAATCGACTTATATAATCTAATACCATTCCTCAAAGGATTGCACATTTCTTAGAGAAATATTCAGACACACCTCAAACCGCCCTCTCCTCTGTCCGTCTGGCGAGCTCCAACTGTCCACTCCTCTCAGTTTGTTTTTATCTTTTTTTTCTCTGCTTTCGCCTGCACATCTACACAAATATCTCCAGGGTGTGAATGGCAATGATTAATCTAAGGCCTCACCCGAACTTTCACTTCGACAAGAACAGCATCTAAACATGTGCAGCAGGGATGAACTTGTCATCCCACAGATGTTCCAAAAGCTGAGGGGAGGCTCCCAAATATACAACAGCTCCCCAAACAGTGAAATGTGATTAAATAATGCTGCACCATAACAGGGCTCACTAACAGAAAGGGAAAGGGATTGTGTCTCTTTATCTCACTGGGCTGAAAATCTGTTTCACCAGCTCTCTGTCTGGACTTTTGGCCCATTAGGAACCAGCCAGATGTAGCAGCGTGTCTCAGTGTGTGGAGCTGTGAGACCCACAACGGAGGGTATTTCTCAGCCAGGGCTCAGCCTCAGCGCATTCAGAAGCCCCAAAGAAAAGGGTTGCAGTCCCAGCAGGGATAACAAACCCAGAGCAGCACAGCTGAAAGGAAAAGCTCCCATAAATACGGATCCCCGAGGGATAATCCTAAAGAGAGGCAATCCTGAAATATGCCTCATCACAATGATCTGGGTGAGCAGATCTGTGCAGGAGCGTTGGCAGACAGGAAACTGAGCATCCTGGCGTTGGTCCTTTTCAGAGATTAGTCGGTGACAATTTGTTGTGAGAAAAATGTGACAGCTGTAATGTGCACAATCTTGTATTGTTAAAGCTAGTCACAGTTAAACCCCGGCAGAATAAAGTAACTGTGAAATTTGGTTATTGGATTAAAAATGCGAGTGCACATTCTTCCAGTCTTAAAAAGCAGGTTGTCATCAATGCATGCTTAAAAAAAACATGATTCAAATGCTGATCTGTTTTGGGATTTACATGACAAAAGTTGCACATTTACAGAATAAATTTTTACTACTATTGCACAGTGAGATTTGTAGATCTAGTATCATGGTTTTACTTTTCAATTTGTAAACTTAAATACAGAGTATACAACTCAAACTGAAGGAATCCCTCATGTGGAGCAACTTTTAATAAAGTTATTAAAGCTAAAAAGAATAAATGCATCTCTATTGCTTTATTTAATATAAAATAAAAAGACTTACCTGAGCTTAGCAGAGAGTGGACTTATTGAAGAAAAGCTTGCTGCTTTACAATTAAGCTGCTGAACAATCGGTGCAGGAGCAGAGTGAAGACTGAGAGTCCAGCCGGCGAGCTCTAAGGAACTGAAGCCGCGACAAAGAACGCTGTCCTATAACCCCCTTTCTCTCCCTCAAGATGTTCTTGGGAATGAGACTGTAGCTCTTTTTGTGTCTCAACAAATTTGATAACAGAAAGGGACTCCCAATGAGAGCCTTTCGTTTGAACCTTGACCCCACCCTTTCTTTCTCCATCCCCTTCTCCTCAGAGAGCCACTTGTGCGCTCCACAATAGCCTGAGTCAGAGTAAGTAGCACATTTTAGCAGCGTGGAGAAGAATGGCATGCCTCAGTCGCAACGAGTTGTCGGGTATGACTCCATGGTAACCAGGCCTAGCGGTGCACCGAGTGCCTTCACCATGAACTCCCACCCCCCCACTGATAGATAGAAGATGGACTGTGTTGTTAATTGAGAAGTTTTATGACTAAACTCTCAGAGATGATCTTTTGTAGATGGTCTGTTTAGTTCGACAGAGGGCCCCATTCCCTATAGGAGAGCAAGTGAAAAACAAGAGTGGGGAGGAGGGGGATGCTTTGAGGAAACAGAGGCCCTTGTTGGTCTCCTGCCTCCTGGGGGCATCCTGAATTGGAATGCCCAAAATAATCAGTCACATAGCCATCGGACAGATGTGGAGAGAGTACCCGCTGGCTGGAGGGGGATAATATTTCTTTCATACAAGGAGATCACAGCTGTGTGTCACACACATCGGCCCTTTCTCTTCTCTGTATCATCGATATGCAAATGGTATTCTGTAGACTTGAATGAAGCCACTATCTGTGTGCAAGACTGGGGAGAAGCTTTGACACCACTATCCTGTTAATCTACTGCCAACTGCTAATTGGGACGGCCTCCGCTTTTGTTCTGCTTCTCGGCTCTGTCTGTTGTGTGTCTCGTAACCCTGAAGCGAAAACATTGCCCTGCGTAAGTGCTCACTATCATAAATATATCATTCGTCTTACTCGCTGTGAGGGAGCGGCTCCCGGCTGCTGACACAAGATAAGATGCTCTCAATGTTTTTAACAGTTACCAACAGGCTTTCACTTTGAAAATGTTTTATTTCACAATTTTGGCAGAAAAAAAGCAGTTTCTCAACAATAAATGCTTAATTTAATTTGTTTTTACATGAGCAGAGTCAATTTGAGCAAATTAAAATATTTTCTATACATGGATTTATTGAAAGGGAACCTATTACGATTTTTCTTTTTACCTTTATTATAACGTCGGATGTTCATATCAAATGTGGTCAAAGTTTCAAACATGTTTCTTATTACCTAATGTAAAGTAATCCATGTGAGCAAAACCTCAGGCTTTAGACCGTTCTGAATACTCTGTTTCCAACGTTTTTCGTACTTTCGCGACAAACTGATGTCAGCGTGATGGATTTTTTTTATATGGTCATCTGCTCCAGGCACGTTACATACACTGCTACATGTAGCTACATGCTAACATCAGGGAAACATGTAATCTTGGTGGCAGATGTTGTTAAATTTTTCCCCGATTTGAAATCATGCTCCTGCTGGAACATGTCTGGTTGTGTTTAGAAGCTTTTATTACAGATTTTTTACAGTAGAAAATGCCTCTATTCTTTGTTACAGTCATTCCCTGGTTCCAAGTACACCGCTACATGTAGCTACATGTTTACGTCAGGCAACGTGGTTGCCGATGTTGTCCATTTTTTCCCTGATTTCGAATCATATTCCAGCTGGAACATGTCTGGTTTTGTTTAGAGGCTTTTATTAGTGATTTGTTTTTAAAGTGCCTCTATTTTTCGTTACAGCCCTTTCCTGGTTGCAAGTACAGTGCTACATGTAGCTACCATGCTAACATCAGGGAAACACATAATCTTGGTTGCCAATGTTGTTATTTTTTCCCCTGATTTTGAATCATATTCCTGCTGGAACGTGTCTGGTTTTGTTTAGAGGCTTTTATTAGGGTTTTTTTTTTTTCACCATAGATGGTGCCTCTATTCTTTGTTACAGTCCTTCCCTGGTTCCAAGTACACCGCTACATGTAACTACATGCTTATGTCAGGGAAATGTCATCTTGGTTGCCAATGTTGTCCATTTTTTCCCCGATTTTGAATCATATTCCTGCTGGAACGTGTCTGGTTTTGTTTAGAGGCTTTTATTAGGGATTTTTTTTTCACCATAGAAGGTGCCTCTATTTTTTTTTACAGTCCTTCCCTGGTTCCAAGTGCACCGTTACATGTGGCTACATGCTTACGTCAGGAAAACGTCATCTTGGTTGCCAATGTTGTTCATTTTTTCTGATTTCAAGTCATATTCCAGCTGGAACATGTCTGGTTGTGTTTAGGAGCTTTTATTAGTGTTTTTTTTTAGAGTAGAAATTGCCTCTATTCTTCGTTACAATGTTTAGCTGGTTGCAAGTACACAGCTACATGTAGCTACATGCTAACATCAGGGAAACACGTAATCTTGGTTGCAGATGTTGTTAATTTCTCCCTAATTTTGGATCTCTGACCAATCAGAGCTGATTGGGCTTTTTTGGGAGCTCAAACAAGTTGGACAGAGGGTGGACACAGGTGTTTCAGAACAGACAGTATGAAGAAAATAAAGTGTAAAACATGTAAACATGTTCCTGTCGAAATTCAAAATGCAAGTATGAATCTAAAAATCAGTATAATAGGTCCCCTTTAAAGGTATCCTGTGGAGTTTTTGACAACTATTAGCACTACTGAGCAATGTTTTGACAAGTGGATCCCTGGTTTGTTTGTATTGCAGGCACAAGGCTGCACATGTACACACAAAGAAGCATAGCAACGTGCTAACTATGCCAAACAAACAAACATGGCCAATTTTGCATTTTTCAATTTTTTAAAGGCTTTTCAAGTGTTTTATAACCACCACAACCATAACTTTTGTTTGTTCTCGAGAAAACACCACAGGGCACCTTTTAATGCTTTCAAGGCAGGCAGATTAATATGGAGAGAAATTAGTCTCAATAGTAGTGAGTACAAATAAAGACGAGGTTTACAAATGTGTAGCATGTCTTGTAAATAAATTATGATGTTCCCGAGTGAATTGTCATACCCACAAACAAGTACCACCAAACTTAACAGAAAAAAGAAATATGCAAAACAAAGCTTCCTGTGCATGTTAATGTCTAAAAGATCGGATGTAACCGTTTCACCAGATGCAGATTAAACTACTACTACTAGAAAGTGAAGTTGGAAATACGTAGAATATTGGCATTTATTGAATCTGAGTTGTATTTGTTCGTACATTTCTTGTATTTATGGATAGGCAGAAGGGAAATTTGGGCATTTGGGGAAACAGTTACTTACTCACAAATTGTAAAACACATTTGTAAATCTGGTAAATCGACCAAGAAAATGTGTGCCCAGTATCAGTATTAGAATGTGAATGTGTTACTGAATACATGTCAAAGAAACATTAGCTTTAAATAAAATGTGAGAAATCTACAACAACTTTCTTTCATGCAATAAATCAGCGTCTTTTTTCCCACAGAGCCAAAATAAAGTTGATTGCACTTTGAAAAACAGAACTGCCTCTGTGTGTGTGTATGAGCAACATGTTGAATGTGTGGGTTTAACTCTGCAGCTACAGGCACAAGTTGCATCACACTCGTGCTGCTGAGGCTCAGATGTTGAAGCGGTGGTTCCTGGTTTGCGCTGCCCTCCTCTCTCTGGAGTACATGTTGACATAGGAGGATATAAGGTCATCCATCTTGTAACCCTTTTTAAAGGAAGACACAGAGGTGAAGAGAGGAAATTAAAAGAACAAACTTTTACTCACAGTCAATAAAGCTCATGTGTCTGATGATGGATCTTACCAGTGAGGTTTCACACAGAAATTTGCTCCCCTTGACTAAGCTGCCAGTAGTCATGTGAAAGTAGGTGCTGCCACTGCACCAGTTAGCGATGCGGTTGAAGGGGTGATTTGCCAGCACATCCTTTACAAGAGAAAAGAATTGTTGATGGTGAAAAGTGGGGGCAAGGTGTTAAATATAATGCTGTTAAAGATGATTTTTTTTATTTACTTCTCACCTTGGTTTTAGGGTGGATGATGGTGAGGCCTTGCTTGCTGATGGCTATTCTCACAATATCTGGGAAGTTTGGTTCTGATGTTTGCTGAGGAAAAAGTCATAAAGACAAATGAAACTTTTCTTCATCGTGCTTTCTGCAGACATGCAGTTAGTGTGCCATGGTGACAAACGGTGTGAGGGACTGAGACAGACAGCATCAGATAAACAAGCCGCCCACCTGACCAAATGGACGACAGATAGCAAGATAAAGCAGAGTCTGTGCTGCATTTGCTGCAGCTCTTACCTTCACTTCAAAGAACGCACAGCCGAACGTCGGCCAGCGGTAGACCACCTTCAGAAACGCCAGCCTAGCTTCATCGACAGTCGTGCCAGCTTGTTTGTTGTAATAGGCGCCAATACTCTAAAAAAAAAAAAAAAAATATAGACATCACAGTATGAAACAGCAATCTGTTCTGCAGAAGTATTTGCACTGCTTTCAATGGGGTTAATGATTTTCCAACACCCCCACAGCCCTCAGGCAATATTCTCAGAGAGCAAGGATAAGCATCACACATGACATAATGGTGATATTGTTCATATGAGCAATTTAAAGAAGTCGTCTGTTGATATTCGATGTGAGCGTCTGTGTATTAAAGCCTGATGTATGGTAATCCTCTGAGCCATAGAGCTCTAACTGTTTAAGACACATCAGTGAGTCACACTGTTGTTCCGTCATTATCATGAATACACACACTGTAGTTTATTTTGACTCAATCCCGGATACACCTTCCGGCTCCTGTGAACACTTGCTAACACACAGAATGCAGCTAAAAATAACTTGAGTAATGTTTAACATTACTCAAGTTAAAGTAAACACTGGATTTGTTCGGGACTATTTTTAGCTGCAGATTAACACACATTCTGGACACTGTCGTTTTTAGCAAAGTTTGCTGTTCCAGGAAATAACTTCACATTATCTAAAAGTTAAACTATATATTTGAGGAATGTTTTAGCCATGCTAGCTGTGGTCTGTCAGTGGTTAATATCTTAGCAACTACTGGACAGGAGTGGTTCCCAACTGGTCCAGCCACAGGGTCCAGATTTCTCCTTAGTGATTAGTTCAAGGTCCACACAGTTTAATATATTCAGTATCATACTTGCGTTTGGTCATGTCATTGAGTTTGCTGTCTGTTAGTCACTCATGCTACAGCAGGAAACTTTAAAATAAAAGCTCTGTGGCG